AACATAACCCACCGTTAGTTCTGAAAAGTAGCAGGTAATTAAAAGAATACTTCAAGCACCACAGCTACTACAGAGCATTGCAGTGGTTATGGTGCTATAACACCATACCTCCCCAACCCCCATGTAAGTAGTTAAACCGGTGGTAAAAGTTTGACTTCTTACCTAGGTGTCACTCCCTGCAGCAGGCAATTCTCTTCACTGAGCTAAGCCCTGTGGTGCAGGACACAGCTCATTGCCTGACAGAAATCAGCAATCATAGTCCCATTTTAAAAAAAAAAAACACATTTTAAAGCGGTGTTTTTAAAAAAGTGTCCATTGCTATGAGTATTTGCAGAAATGCAATGTATAGAAACACTATGCCTGTCTGTGCTCATTTGCATGTGAAGCTGGGAACTCTGGGATTGAGAAAACATGATTTCTTGAATTTCTGTGCCTAAGGAGGACTTCACAGACTAACTTGAAATATGTAGATGAGGCATAACAGTATTTTTTTATATTTGCACTGTTGGGAGTTTTATCGTGTTTAGTCTCAATACAATCTTTTTGACTTGTATACATACACACACACACACATCTGATACAGACTTTCTTACGTTAAAGAGATCTTTACTATATGATATGTATGAACAAGTCAAAGTAGTTTCTACACTAAATTGCAACTTTCCTTGGCTACGGCAAAGACAAAACCTCTCACATGATCTCCTCGAATTCTAGGGTGATAAATGTAAAATAAAAAATATATACTTTAAAAAAAAAATTTGTACTAGATCATCTGCCTTAAATAATAATTATGTTTAGTTCAGCTGATGCACTGTTCATTTCTCCTGTCGAGTCATTTTATCAATACCCATGGACACGAATTCTGTTGCATTGATGCCATGTTTTTTTCAGCAATAACATTGTACATCCCCACCCCCATTATTCCTAAACTATTAACAGCTAAAACACCCTTACCACAAACATCGCCCTTCCACATTGTCCCAGGTGCGTTCTGTCTCCACGGTTTTCGGTTTGTGCGCGGGTCGTCAGCTGTCATACAAAAATGGTTTTATTTTTATTTTTTTAATCTAGTATCTCACCTGTCAGATACCACACACCTCCCTGCATGTGACTTGCACAGCCTTCCATAAACACTTCCTGTAAAGAGAGCCCTATTTAGGCTTTCTTTATTGCAAGTTCTGTTTAATTAAGATTTTCTTATCCCCTGCTATGTTAATAGCTTGCTAGACCCTGCAAGAGCCTCCTGTATGTGATTAAAAGTTCAATTTAGAGATTGAGATACAATTATTTAAGGTAAATTACATCTGTTTGAAAGTGAAACCAGTTTGTTTTTTTCATGCAGGCTCTGTCAATCATAGCCAGGGGAGGTGTGGCTAGGGCTGCATAAACAGAAACAAAGTGATTTAACCCCTAAATGACTGTGAATTGAGCAGTGAAATTGCAGGGGAATGATCTATACACTAAAACTGCTTTATTTAGCTAAAGTAATTTAGGTGACTAAAGTGTTCCTTTAACTGCAGGAAACTAGCATCTGTCTATTGAATTCGGCCAACACAAATCAGGAGGAGGAGTGTTTGCCAACACCAAATTTGTTAGTATATGCAGCAATCGCCATTTTCCTCTTCAGGTCACGCACCCAAGGAGGGGAGCACTTTGACAAATTAGGAAAAACATCACAAGCATGATAGAGTTTATTCACTCACCCCTTTTACCAACCAAGTTACATCTCTGCAACTTGACACAATGAAACTCTAATGTCCGTTGATTTGTGTGCAATTTTGCTATAAAAATTACTGAACATAGTGAATGTGCTTCATCTCAGTAACCTATCTTAATATATCTATAGATTTTGTGCTGAATATGGCAGGCGCTTACTACAGTAAAGAATAGATACTGTGAACAGTATCGTAGTGTATTACCTGGTGACTGTTTAGGTGTTGGAGTACTTCTGGGATGCTTTGGAGGGAATTCTTTCTGTTTGTGCAATGCCATGTGACTGAATTCCTCCTGCATAAGTTAAAAAAGCAAAAAAAAGTATTTTTTATTAGTTACTCCCAAAATTCCAATGGAATTCTTTATGCACACTAGAGGCACACACTCACCTCTGGACTCAAAAATCTTTTTATCATCTTCTCAAGAAATGGCTTCTTTAATATTGAATTTATAGACGGTCTATCCCATGACGATATCTTCAAAAGCTGAGATATCAGGCCCCTCAAATCATAGGAATATTTTGCAGAAATTGGTTCAAAAAACCCTCTGCAGATCTTTAACTTTAGTTGAGGTATTTCCGGTGCTTCAAACTTTAGGATAAAGCAGAAAAATGAGTGATTACATAAATAGTAATAAACAAGACAGTTTGCTGCAATCGTCATGGATATTTAAAGGGACACTCTGAATAACAATACAACTTTAATCCATTTGATAGCTTTAGGCCTCATTAATATGCTATATTTTTTTGCACACTCAAATCTTTCTACACAATAACACACTGTTACTGTACCTACTCAATGGTGTCTCGTATCTTCCATTTTACCTACCTTTGTTGTGTATACACCCTGTTCCAAATTATTATGCAAATTCTATTTAAGTGTCACAAAGATTTTTCAGTTTAACTCATGGATGGCATTGTGTCTCAGGGCTCTTTTGATCACTGAAAACAATCTCGGACACCTGTGATAATTAGATTGCCAGGTGGACCCAATTTAAGGAAAAACTACTAAAGGAGGGTGTTCCACATTATTAAACAGAGCACCATTTTCATGCAATATGGGGAAGAAAAAGGATCTCTCTGCTGCCGAAAAGAGTGAAATAGTTCAATGCCTTGGACGAGGTATGAAAACATTAGATATTTCACGAAAACGTAAAGGACCACTCTAGGCACCCAGACCACTTCAGCTTAATGAAGTGGTCTGGGTGCCAGGTCCCTCTAGGGTTAACCCATTTTTTTTTATAAACATAGCAGTTTCAGAGAAACTGCTATGTTTATAAATGGGTTAATCCAGCCCTCAAATCCTCTAGTGGCTGTCTCATTGACAGCCGCTAGAGGTGCTTGCGTGATTCTCACTGTGAAAATCACAGTGAGAACACGCAAGCGTCCATAGGAAAGCATTATAAATGCTTTCCTATGAGACCGGCTGAATGCGCGCGCAACTCTTGCCGCGCGTGTGCGCATTCAGCTGAAAGGGCGGAGAGGAGGCGGAGAGCTCTCCGCCCGGCGCTGGAGAAAGGTACGTTTTAACCCCTTTCCTCTCCCCAGAGCCCGGCGGGAGGGGGACCCTGAGGGTGGGGGCACCCTCAGGGCACTATAGTGCTAGGAAAACAAGTATGTTTTCCTGGCACTATAGTTTTCCTTTAAGCGTGATCATCGCACTATTAAGAGATTTGTGGCTGATTCAGAGCCCAGACGGGTTTGTGCAGATAAAGGCACATTGAGGAAGATTTCTGCCAGATCCATGCATCGGATCAAGAGAGCAGCTGCTAAACTACCATTACATAGCAGCAAACAGATATTTGAAGGTGCTGGTGCCTCTGGAGTCCCACAGACATCAAGGTGTAGAGTCCTCCAGAGTCTTGCAACTGTGCATAAACCTTCTATTCGGCCACCACTAACCAGTGCTCACAAGCAGAAATGGCTGCATTGGGCAGAAAAATGCATGAAGACTAATTTTCAAACAGTCCTGCTCACTGATGAGTGCCGTGCAACCCTGGATGGTCCAGATGGAGTGAGTAGTGGATGGTTGGTGGATGGCCACCCTGTTTCAACAAGGCTGCGATGTCAGCAAGGCGGTGGTGGAGTCATGTTTTGGGCCGGAATTATGGGAAGAGAGCTGGTTGACCCCTTTAGAGTCCCCAAAGGTGTAAAGCTTTTCGTAATAAAATCATCTTCATGCATGACAATGCACCATCTTATGCTGCAAAGAATACCTCTGCATCAATGGCTGCTATGGGGATAAAAGGAGAGAAAGTCATGGTGTGGCCTCCATCCTCCCCTGACCACTGGCGGATCCAATTGCCCCCCCCAAGATTCTCCCCTGCTGGCTAATGCAGGGCTGGCACTTCATAGATCTCCCTCCCCGGTCGGCAGGCAACGTGCTGACAGCCGGCAGGGGAATAAGAGAGGACCCGGGAGCTCAGTCTGCAGCTCCTCCAGGTCCTACTCTCGCGAGCACGGAGCATTGCCGCGGCTACCATGGCAACGCTCCAAATCTCGCGAGAGTGAACTCTAGCCCTGGAGCTACGGGCTAGAGTTCACTGTAACCACTGGGACCACCAGGGATCAAGAAATGTCCCCCCTCCTCCTCAGTAAAGGAAAGAAGGTAGGGGGACATAAATGTATTTATTTTTTATTTATAATGTATAAAAAATGTTTTTATAATAAAGTCCCCCATCCCTCCTCACCACACATTGCCCCCATACACACACACATTGCCCCCCTCACACACACACAGCCCCCCCTTACACACACACACACACACACACTGCCCCCCATACACACACACACACTGCCCCCACACACACACACACACACTGCCCCCACACACACAAGTTACACATGAAAAATCTTCTTGCCACTTGTTTCCATCTTGATATCTCACGTCAGCGTGGAAAAAGATGAGATATTTAAAATAAAAAAAATACAGCTGTATATTTACCAGGAGTTATGTATGAGATACATAAGTTCTGCTTTTAACTGAAAGTTTTACAGCAGCTCAATACATAAGCAAATGGCCCTGGCAAGAGGGTTTTATTCATGAAAAAAATAATTTATTGCTCAACTTGAGATCCAATTAATTTTTACAAGTTTTTTTTTTAATTTTCTTTGTCTGAAACGACTATTGCATATACGCACGTGTGGCTGCTACACATCTGTCTCTAAATGAAAGGTGCTAATATAA